ATAATCATTAAGATAAATTATCAGAGGGTAATGAGATTTTCCAGAGGTACAAGTACACCAGGCATTTGCTATAATTTATGTTTTATTTAAATACTTATTTAGAACTTTCTAGGTGCCAGTCATTATTCTTGGCACTTTGCATAATCTTCCTAGTATGTGTGTTTCTGTAATTTCTTGGTTCTCTCTCAAAGGCAGCTATCACCTTATACTATTGTCAATATACAGAATTTTTTTTTTTTTTTTTTTTGACAGTTTCGCTCTTGTCACCCAGGCTGGAGTGCAATGGCACGATCTCGGCTCACTGCAACCTCCGCCTTCTGGGTTCAAGCAATTCTCCTGCCTCAGCCTCCCAAGTAGCTGGGATTACAGGCATGCACCACCACACTCAGCTAATTTTTGTATTTTTAATAGAGACGGGGTTTCACCACGTTGGCCAGGCTGGTCTCAAAATCCTGACCTCAGGTGATCCGCCCGCCTTGGTCTCCCAAAGTGTTAGGATTACAGGCGTAAGCCACTGCGCCCGGCCAACATACAGAACTGTAGCGCTACTCATTTGCCCCAAATTTGCAACTTCTAACTTGCTGAGAGTTAGACAAGAGATAAGTAACATGTGAATCAGTGATATGGGTGGTGAGGTAAAGAGATCAGCTTTACCAGATGAGCTTTTTCCAAAGTTCTGACCCTCCCCAATTGAGAATTTTGACAGAATTTTAACTCTGTCAAAAAAAAAAAAATTACAGTGAGCTATTAAGATGTTTGGTGTAGTGAAAAAAACAGAGTGGAAATAATAGTAAGTGGGGAGAGCCAAGGTGCTTTTACTTGAATAAAACAGAGATATGCTTATACATAGAATTATAACCAAATTTGAAATTATGAAGTTGCTAAAACAGTTACCTCTACAAAAGTCTGCTATAAACTGACTTCTCTTTAAGCAGATCTAGCAGAAGAAAAACCCTAAAATATAGTGAAGTAAAACCAGATCTCACCTGTACATTCTTATAATCTACACGCTTTCCACACAAGATACATTTCTTAAGAGGTTCCTTATAAGGATTTTCCATTGTAATGGGCTAGGGAAAAAAACGAAAAGTGTGATAATAGGATGTGTTAATTCTGAATTTTAAAAGGTTACTATTCTACATTCAAATCCATTCAAAGGATTAGTTATACCTTTCTTACTGTGTACATATTTTATATAAGCACTTTATTTTGTTTCAGTTTAGCCTACAAATGAACTCATGGGAAGATTCTGGAATAAAGTACAATCTTTGTAGAATAAAAGAGTTTACGGCAGAACAAAAATGATGTCTGATAAGAAAGTGATTGCTGCAGTGCTTTGCTCAGATTGTAGATAATGAAAAAATTTTTACATTTAAGAAAACTTGTAACACAATAGATAACATACGGCATTCTTAAATGAGTGCAATCCCTAATTTATCCATCTCCATGTCTCTATCAAGTATTTTTTCACTCTTTTTATACATAATGGCCCATGACTTACTGTAATAAAAGGTTGTTTGACTTTTATCACCCCAGGCTACTATATAAGTTTGCATTAGCCTTTTTGGCTTTTCTGTTACCACCATTGCCCTAATGCTTCTGCCACAGTGCCTCCCTCCTACCGTCAGTATGGCTGTCTCCAGGATAGAGGTTCTTAATCTAGAAATGGCTCTGAAGCCCATGACTCCCTGTAATCGTATGCAAAACTCCAAATGAATGGAACTTTGTGCCTTTTTCTGTGGAGAGGGTCCATAACTTTGATTAGAGACAAAGTGGGATTTATGAACTAAAAAAGGAATAATGTCCCTTTACTTTCTTAAAGTATGGTGCATGGATTAGATTACCAAGACAGATGCTCAGAGAAACTAGACAAGTTCTTTTATTTTTTCCAATTCTTCAAACGTTCCATTTTACATTCAGCTCACGTGACTACTCTTCAGCTCTGTGCCAAGTGCTTTGTATGTTCTGATTAGTGTCAAAGTACCTTTGCATGTAGTAAGAACCTGTGCTTTCAAGTCCATGCTAATACTATAGCCAACCTATAGCTAAGCTTTGTACAGTCTCTTTTCAGTTATTTAAAATTCTACTCACCCAAACTACCTTTTAAAATTGCCAAATCATTTGCTTATAAAGGGCAATGTAAAAAAACCGATTCCCAAATCACATAGCCTGAAATTTAAGATCTAGGAAGAAAAATATGGTATTATAGCAGCTTTGCTTCTAATCTAGGAATTCCCCTAGTTCAAAACTCAACTGACTACAATCAATTCATCATCATTTCTGAACTCAGAGTAATTATCTAATTGTTTTGTCCTACAGCAGAACTCTACTCAAGTAGCTAAAATAAAAGATGTTAGAGTCTAATACCAGTTCTCGTTTTAAAAAGAAAAAAACATTTGGTCATATTTGCAAATGCCTTACTAATAGAAAAAAAAATTCTTACCAGGTCCTCGTTGCTGGATACCTGTTTATATTGTGAACAACCTCTTCTCCAAAGCACTGTGATTAAACAGAAACAGCAATTAACTATTTATTTTTCATAGCTGAATAGCTAAATATTTTTGTTTTTATGGAGACAGGATGAACTAAGGGACACGATATTAAAGGTTTTGTATTCATTATATTCAGAATGACTAGTTAAAAACCTTTATATTTAGGACAGAGTAAGACTCAACATGGGTGTGCTTTCCAGGGCTTTGGGGGAAAAGCATGTATTTTCCCACCCATACCTGCTCTCTTTCTGACATTGATTTTCCCTTCATTCCATGGTTAGAGAAAATTCTTAATGCAAATTCTTACAGGAGAAGCAACAGGCACTATCATACAAAAAGAAAATGAGTAACAGACCCGTCCCAGAGAGAATTTATAGAGAAACACAGAGGAGATAAAATGGCAAAAATTACACAATTTTGTTCTGTTTGGGGGCCTTAGACAACTGGAATTTGCTGCTGGGCGACTCTGGAAATGCCCCTTCCTTACTAAGATTATCCGGAGATCTTAGCAAAGTCTCTGCTTTTTAATTAAGAACCACTCTAGCTTCCTCATACGTTTAAAGAAAGGAGTGGATTAGACGACTCTAAAACAGTCAAAGGCGATTACAGATTCCCAACCATCTTGGAGAAACTTAATTGCCTAGAAACTAGAGTCGTTTTGCTAACAGGGACGACTCCACCAACCATTAGGACTAAGGTTAACGCCTGCAACGCTACAACGGAGCATAGAATATGGAGACTTTACCCGTGTGAGTCCCGGGATGTGTAAGGCTGACAGCAGCCGTTACCAAGCGTGTCAACTTCTTCCTCCCTAGACCACCGCAAACAGCAACCATAGCGGCCATGGTTCCGCGTTTGTTCCACTTCCTTTCGCTCCGAATCGTTCCGAAAGGCCCCTTCCGCTGCTTTTCCCCTGTGGGCTCGAGTACGCGGTTCAAAGGTTCCGCAGGAGAACGCTGAGGACCCGCGAGAGTAGGTGAGGTTTTTCAATACGCATGCGCAGCACCTTTCTGTTCTAGCCCTCGCTACGCTGCAGGTCACGTGAGGCTTATGATTGGAGAAGGAGAACGTAGAAGTTTATGCTTGCTTCCGGTCCGCGAGCCCAGAGCACTAACTTGGGGTCTTTTCCGAAGGTGGATGTAGAAGCGGGCGCTGGCCTCCCACTGTCTTTTCCATTTGGGCTTAGCGTCTGGGTCACTGAGAACGACGTCTGAATAGGGCCCTGGATCCTTGCCATGGATGAAGGTGGTTCCCGCATCCGCCGGCGGGTGTCTCTCCCCAAAAGGAACCGTCCAAGCCTGGGGTGCATTTTTGTCGCTCCCACCGCGGCCGAGCTCGAGCCCGGAGATGAGGGGAAAGAGGAGGAGGAAATGGTGGCTGAGAACAGGAGGCGGAAAACCGCGGGCGTACTGCCGGTCGAGGTACAGCCCCTTCTACTCTCAGATTCCCCCGAATGTCTCGTCCTTGGAGGTGGTGATACAAACCCGGACCTCCTACGTCGCATGCCCACTGACAGAGGGGTGGGAGACCAGGTACGAAGGGCTTGGAACTTGAAACTGCAAAGTTTTGGCATCCTTCCCAGATGCAAAGAGTTGACCAGTTTTATCGCCTTCGTTTACTTTTCTCCTCTTTACCACTGTTAATCGGCACTTAGGAGGTATTGATTGCCTCTATATAAATATGAAATGTAAACCCCGAGACATAAAAGTTGTACACGCAGCAAATAAGTGGCTGACGGAAACACAAATCTAGGCTTCCAAATAACTGCAGCTCCTACTGTACAGATAAAATCTGCTGTTTATTGAAGACCCATTATGTTAAACTAGTTACATTGTCTAGATTTTACAACAGTAATCAGGCCCTGAAAAGTTGAGATACTACAGTTCTTGCTCCAAATCCTGTTGTCGTAATCACTTTACTATATTGCTGCCTCCAGGTTTGTTTTTCTAATATGTAGTAGACCACTCCAAGTCAGTATTCAGATTATCAGTCTCAATTCCAAATTCCTAGGAACTCCTTGGAGTGTCTAGGGGTACAACCATGTTTCTGTTACAGGCCAGTCTCTGTAGATTGTAGTCTGGGAGGGAAGCACTGCAGTTACCAGAAACTTCGAATGCACTGACATTTCAGTAGATGTCTACCAGTCTTCCTGCTGTTTTAGTATAGCTTTAACAATTAGAATCTGGCCAAGTGTGGTGTCTCATGCCTATAATCCCAGTGCTTTAGGAGGCCGAGATGGGAGGATCACTTAAGCCCAGAAGTTCGAGTTCAAAACCAGCCTAGGCAACAGAGACCCAGTCTCTATTTAAAAAAAAAAAAAATTTTTTTTTTAATTAGCTGGGTGTGGTGGCCTGCACCTGTAGTCCTAGCTACTTGGGAGGCTGAGGCAGGAGGATCGCTTAAGCCCGGGATGTCAAGGCTGCAGTGAGCTGTGATCGTGCAGTGGCTGCCACTGCACTCCAGCCTGGGTGACAGAGCCAGACCCTGTCTCAAAAATTAGAATCTCAGTGTCATTGTAACACTCATAAACCTGCTGTTTAGCCAAGTAATTTAACCTCTTTGGGCCTCCATTTCTTCAGCTGTAAATTGGTGATATCTATTTACATATAGGTCTATGATCCATATGTGACCATATAATTATATACTTGGTACAGCCCTAGGCTGAAGTGTTTTTGGGTTTTTTGTTTTTTTTTTTTTTTGAGAAAGAGTCCCACTCTGTTGCCCAGGCTGGAGTACAGTGGCGCAATCTCGGCTCACCGCAACCTCCGCTTCCCAGCAATTCTCATGCCTCAGCCTCCAAGTGGCTGGGGCTACTGGAGCGTGCCACTGTGCCCAGCTAGTTTTTGTATTTTCTGTAGAGACTAAGTTTGACCATGTTGGCCAGGCTGGTGAAGCTTTTCTTCTTAATGAAACTGGAATTGACCATAAGCGTTTTTGTTCTCTTTGCAGCATAATGACAGTGAAGAGGACATGTTTGGTGACTATGATAGCTTTACTGAAAACTCCTTTATAGCTCAAGTTGACGACCTGGAACAAAAATATATGCAACTTCCTGAACATAAGAAACATGCTACAGACTTTGCCACTGAAAATCTTTACTCAGAAAGTATCAAAAACAAACTCAGCATTACTACCATAGGCAACCTTACTGAATTACAAACTGATAAGCACACAGAGAACCAGAGTGGATATGAAGGTGTCACTGTTGAACCTGGAGCTGATCTTTTGTATGATGTACCTTCCTCACAGGCTATATACTTTGAAAATTTACAGAAGTCTTCAAATGATTTGGGCAATTGTTCTATGAAAGAAAGGGATTGGAAGTCATCCTCTCACAACACTGTGAATGAGGAACTGCCCCATAATTGCATAGAGCAACCCCAGCAAAATGATGAGACCTCTTCCAAAGTCAGAATTAGTTCAGATATGAACAGGAGAAAAAGTATTAAAGATCATCTAAAAAGTGCCATGACTGGAAATGCCAAGGCCCAGACACCAATATTTTCTAGAAGTAAACAGCTCAAAGACACTCTCCTATCTGAGGAAATTAATGTTGCTAAGAAAACAATTGAGTCATCATCAAATGACCTTGGTCCTTTTTATTCATTACCCAGCAAAGTGAGAGACCTTTATGCCCAGTTCAAGGGAATTGAAAAATTATATGGTAATGCTTTTTGCTGGAATAAAAAAATTTTTTTCCTATCATTACCATAATATTAGTGCAAGTCAATGAAAGCGAATGCTTTCATGGTCCATACTAGTTCTCATTTTGAAAACAAAATATTAGTGATCTCTCAACCGCTTCCGTTCCTACCTATCCTGCTACCACTGAACCTCTTTCCTTCCCTCACAGTCACACTTACCAAACCAGTTATCCTTTCTGTCTGTTTCCTTACCTCACATAATTCCTCTAATTCCTCATCTATAAGAAAGGGATAGTAAATTGTTAGGCAAGTTAGATTCTGGTTCAAAGACATGCCAAATTAGATATTGGTAATGATTTTCAATAATTATATTGGTAGCCTCTAAGTAAGAACTTTAGTAAATTACCCCACTCTAATTCTGGGTTCTGTGCTCTCACTTAAGATCTGATGACTAAGATCTGACGTCTAAACACAATGTTACTTTTAATGTTTACCTTACCTGACTTCTCAATAACTTACCTGATGCTGTTGACTACACCCCCTGTGAAATTCTTGTTTCTGGATGTCCTTACACCCACTCCTGTTTTTTGACTCTGATTGTCTAGTAGATCCTCAGTTTTCTTAGCTTGTATTTCCTTGGCTGGCTCTGTCTTCTCTACTAAAACTTAGCTGTTGCAGTATGTCTTGGACACTCACATGTCTTGAGTGAAAGAAATCCATATTAGTAATACTGTTGATTAAACCAAACATCTTTCCCCCCTCACCAGCAGCCGCAGCCACCTCTCTCCACGGGCACATCCCCACCACCACCCAGGTGCTCTGCTTTGTGCTGCCTCTCCCAAAACTAGACATCTTTAAAGACAGCTGCAATTAAGTTTTAAGTCAGTGATGTCCAATCTTTTGGCTTCCTTGGGCCACATTGGAAAAGGTATTGTCTTGAGCCACAGTAAAATACACTAACGATAGCTGATGAGCTAAGAAAAAAAAATTGGAAAAATAAAATCTCATAATGTTTTACAAAAGTTTACAAATTTGTGTTGGGCCACATTCAAAGCCATTCTGGGCCTCATGAGGGCTGTGGGTTGGACAGGCTTGTTTTAAGTGCAAAGAAACTAATATTAAGAAGGTATCTTGTAATGTTTTTAAAAAATCCAGGGTCCTTGCATATATTTCAGAAACGTGTCATTTCAGACAAATAAGGGACAGTTGCTGCCATACTGGAAAGTCAGCCCATCAACCTTCCACTTCATGAGTTTTCTGGAACTCCTGTTAGGATCTTATGAATGATATGAAAACTTGGGTTCTTAGGGAGAAGACAGTCAGGTTGGAGCAGAACTACAGGAAACAAACTCTGATAAAAGACTACAAGAATCTAAATTGTGAGGTTCATGGTTTAAGAGCTAATGGTGTGTATTACCCTGGAAGTAGATGTTAACTTTCTTCTCTCTGCTTTTCTCCTAGCACCTTGCTTTTTGTTTAGTCTGCCATAATGAACACCCTGAGGACAGGGCTCTATCTAACTCACCTTTTTCTTAACTAGCACTGTGCCTGGTACACTCTGGTAGGTTCTCAGCTGCTGGGGGTTGTCACTTAACAATGCAACTTTAGCACTCTGGGCCTAGTTCCTTGTCTATAAAAAGGGATACATTTTTTGCAAGTTAGAGGCTGTGTTAAGGACATGCCAAATTAGATGCTGGTAATGATTGTCAGTAATTATATTGGTAGCTTCTAAGTGAGAACTTCAGTAAATAACAACTTTTAAAATCTTTTTACCTTTAAATCTGGCTTAATAACATGACAGATTAAAGCATAAATACATGTGCTGCTTTTTATTAAGCTAAAGCAGTGGTTCTCAAGTGTGGTTCCTGGACTGCAGCATCAATGTCACCTGGAAATTTGTTGAAGCGCGTGTTCTCAGACACTTCCCCAGACCTACTGCATCAGAACCTCTAGGAGTACGACCTCGCAGTCTATGATCATGGCTTACTACAGCGTCAACCTCCCAGGCTCAAGCAATCCTCCCACTTCAGCCTCCGAAGTTGTGGGGACTATAGGCATGTGCCATCCTAACCGGCTAAATTTTTTGTATTTTGTAGAGATAGGGTATCATTTTGTTGCCTAGGCTGGCCCTGAACTCCTCTCAGCCTCCCAAAGCGTTGGAATTACAGATATGAGCCATTGTACCTGGCTAATTTATTTTTTTGATGTGAAGATTATATTCATATATATTATTTTGTCATGTTATACTTAAAAATCTGAATTGGATAAAATGTGGCTATGGTTACATTATATTTTGGCATAAACATCTAATTTGATAACTTGGGTGATACCAATCGGAAGT